ATCGTTGCCGTCCTGCTATACGGTACGGGAGCATGGACAATGACAAAATTTGATGAGTCTTGTGGTCTGGATCGATGAGAATATTCCAGTTCTGAAAGTTTTCGTTGGAAAAACCGGGTAGAGAGGGACCTGGCTCTACTTAGTATCTCCAATTTGGCGCCAAGCAGCGAGACAAAGGAATAATTGGCGCGATGTTATGAATTTGGCTAAAATCGCGTAAGCGGTGTCCACGCCAGTAAAGTAAGTAAGTCACAGGTCGTTCCTAGCTCATAACAGAGGTTTCAAAATTGGCAGTGACCAGTCTAAGGGGAAAATGCGCGCTCTCAGTCGATCCTCTGTGATGTTTCTAATTTGGCTTTACGTAGGGAATTCGTTTACCTTATTGGTAGTGAGGAGAACTTTCGGCCCAAATGCATTTTTGACAGCATCAAGGATCATCCATATTTTTTCGGATTGCCATGCCGCATTAAGAGCGAAGTCCTTTAAAGAGCTGCGGCAGATCACTTAAAGTGATGGCTAAGTAGTTCTCTTTGAACTTGGTATGGCTGCCTGGACACAGTAATATAACGGGTAATGAGATGGAGGGCGAGCTTGCAAGGAATAGCACTTTCCTTTCCCTTTCGTCATCATGGAAGAGTTTGGGAATCTCGCTCTCCACTTTTAAGTTCAATATAACAGAGTTATTTATTAAAAATGCTAGGTCAAGATGAAGAAGTCTCAATGCGAGAACAGAAAGGATTGGAACAGAAAGGAGGTCAAGTGGCTTTATCAAGCTAAACAGAGCTGAGATATCAACAGTTGTAGCATATTCTTTTGGGCAGGCACGCAAAGAGATTGAGCGTACCATCTAACGACTTCTGCAAAAGTTGCAGACAAGAAGAAGGATCTGATACTTTAAAGCACTTTCTCTGTCAATGCATTTTGGAAAGGTAGGTTGAAGTCTCTAGGAGCGGCATTCCCGTTTGACGCCTAGGTGGGCTGATGCCCGGCAACCATTGCAACCAAACAAAGTTCTTTAGCATTTAAAGACGGTATTTTCAAAGTGTTTGCTGTCCATGTCGGGCGATCCGTCTGCACTCGTCTCCCGAAAGAACATATTGGTCTGGTAAAAAAGGAATCCATAATCGACAAAATAATTGAAATCGTCCAGTCTGACCATCATGCAAGTTCGATTGCTTCGGAGCTAAATATTGCACAAAAACAGTTTGGAACCATTTGAAAAAGGTTGGATAACGATAAAAGCTCGATGTATGGGGGAAACATGAGTTAACGAGAAAAAACTTCATGGACCGAATTTCTATCGAATCTCCACAAAATCGAGCCATTTCCGAAGCGGATGGTGATTATTAATGAAAAGTAGATCACTTACTCCAATGAAAAATGAAAACGGACGTGGTCCAAGGGAAGTAAGTAAACGGTTTCCGAGCCAGTCTTTTCAGCCAGGAAGGCTTTGTTGTGTGTTAGATGAGCTGTTCTCCAATGGCAAAACCTATTCTGTCAGCAATTGAACCATCTGAAGAATGCAATCGCCCAGAAGCGTTTAGCCCCGTCCAACAGGAAGGGAATTCTGTTTCATCAGCACAATGCCAAACCACATACGTCGATATGGAGTCGCCAGGGGCTCTGAAAGCTTGGTTGGATGGTTCTTATGCGTCCACCTTACAGTGCTGACCTCACCCCAAGTTTTTACCATCTGTTGTTGTCTATGGCAAACGATTTGGCTCGTGAAGAATTGGCCTCAAGAGTAGCCTGTGAAAATCTATTGATTACTTTTCACCATATAAATATGCCCCTTCTGTTTTGGATGCTTAGTTTGTTATGTATAAGGTGTTTCCAACGTTAGAACATTTTATAATTCTTCGGACCACCATGGAAATACAATACGCTCCTATTTTTGTGAATAGTTTTGTACGAAAATATATTTTATTTTTCATAAGTATTCATATACATCTATCCAGCGATCGCAACTATGTAGGCCCAAGCGATGGTGCCAAAATAATAATTTTTATAGATATTCCTTGATATAAAAAAAAAAACAATCAAAAATGCCGCTAAGTCAACGGGCACATCAGCTCGTCGGTGTCAGTGCTGAACTGATTGATGAACTGTCATTAGCATGCAAGGCGCAATAATGCGCGATCCAAACACTTTATCAACGACACGACGCGCTGTGGCCAGCGATCGCCGAAGATGAAGGCATAGTAAAGGAAAAGAAAAAAGTGAACTTAGTACCAAAATATAAGTAACAAAATATGAGTATCTCGAATGATGAGCATTTTTTTTTGTTTACTACACCGACTTACTGAAGCTGCCATGGGAAGTGGTAATAATGATGTCTCACTGCATTTACAGAGTCTCCAAGTACTGCACAGTGATGTGTGCAACAGTCATCTCAAGCTGCAGCTCCACCACTATTGCATTTCGTCGCGTTTCACACCATTGTTGAGTGTGTCCATTATAAGTGTCGCTCAAAGTTCACATTACCCGTCGCACACACGCAGCAGAGAGCCTTTACTATACTTTACAAACTTGCAACTCACCTCAAAGCCACAATGTACGTACGCTTCTTGTCTGTTGCTCAGCTCAATGTTCTGTTTTCTGTTTCTGGTGGTGCGTCCGACATTGTGACATTGCTGTGTTGGAGTATGACAGTGTTATTAAACTAATCACAGCTGACGCGAGCGCGCAATTGGAACGCTTATCGCGTGGCTGCCATCTTGAAAGTTTGAATTGTGCGACGAATTGAGTTAACTTTGGCTTAGTGGTCTTGCGGTTGTGGGCGCATAATTATGATTGTAGGAGGTTTTGCTTGGTCTCCGCATAGATATATTGTGTTGATAGCAAACGAAAGCATAGGTATTTGCATGAGGGCCCGCGAAGTACTGCATGAAGACCACTTGAAACACATACATACTTTTCACGTCACTGACATATCAAAAGTGAACTAGAGAGTCTTATATGTTTTTTTTTTATTATTGAAAAAGTTGATTAGAGACAGTGTTCTGTGATTGGTGGATGACCTGAAGAAAGAAAAATTGGATATGAGGCGTCCTGTTTTACTTCTGAGTTGGATTCACAAAGCCTGTCCATCCATTTTAGGCACTCTTTAACTTAAATCAATAAGAAATTTCAAGATCCCTCAAACGTCTAGGCAATTTTTGCCGCAGATTTGTGGCTCCTTGCAGTAATGGCAAATACAACAGACGATGGGACGACGGGACAATGACATAGTTCAGCGATTAAAGAGCTGGAGGTTACATTGGCTAAAATATGTCGTCCCGTGGGATGAACGCACTCAAGCTTTGAAAGTATTTGATGTATTATCCGCGAGGGAAGCAAGTAAGTGAAAGAACTTCACTCCGCTGGAGATCAGGTGTCTTCACTAGTCATTTCTAATTGGCACATTAAAGCGAAAAACAGAGCGACTCGCGATCTATTATTGATTCAACTATAATCAAGAAAGCGGTTCTTATGCCAATTAAGAAGTGGAATAAGTCTATTAAAACTTGACATTGTTTATCGCCAGCTCAGAACTATCTCTACCACGCATACATTGGAACTTTTCAAGCTCTTAAAAGCTTTATCTTCATGTTCGTTAAATCTTCTCGCCACACTGTTTTAAGCTTCTGAGACAACTTGGCTACTACGTCGTTCATCACAGCCATGCAAAGCTGGGCCTAATTTACAAATTTAAGAACGGCTTACATCGGCTGGGCGCTGATTGTTGAATGATGTTCTTAACTTGACGCGTTGATTTCAAATATCATCTCAAATAATTAAATTTTCCACCATTGCTGATGCAACCGTAACGGCGTTGAAGCTGTGATGCGTATTCGAATGCACTTGAGCATATGTTTGTAGTCATGTGGCATGGGCGTCATATTGGTAAATTACTGCCTGCTGCGGTTGCATCAATTGTAGATTGGTTGAAGTGTTTGGCTTGTTGCAGTGGCGCATTTTAATTTGATTTTCCAATTTCATGTCACCGCACTGACAGCCGTGGCGGTGATGGTTATGGTGTTGGCATGTAAAGTGCCATTTGGCTGGGTGTTAAAGTGAAGTGTTCTGATACTTGTCTAGTATTCCAAAGCACCAGAGCTACGCAGTCGAGCGAGATTTCAACGTTCCAGCGGATCATTACTGCTCTTCGCTGCTATGCTACGGAGTAAAACTCACAACGATTTCATGAAGTTGAGAGAGGTGTACATAAGAAGTAACAAACTCCTGCTGAAGAAAATATTGAAATTTAATGAAAGTGTCGGCAATTAACTGAAGTGATGTGCATTTTTTAAAATACATCTTTGCTGACGCTACTGCCGACTAAGGACGTTGGCTGACATATATTTTGTCACTTAACACCTACTTAAATATCTGTAAGAGTCATTAGGAACTCTTCATTATGGCCAATTATAAGGAATGGAAGAAATTTATGGCAGGTCTGGTATTTAGGGTTGTTCCGTTGTGACTTAAATTCCAGCTTCGAGTTCTGAACGCAGTGCAAGTTGTTCACAGTCTGCCATACAACTTTTATAAAAGCTTATAACACGAGTCTGCTGCTTCGCTCAAGTGCATACTACAATTGTATTTTTAGCGGAATATCAGTTTTCGATGAAAGAAGAATAGTACATACCTTAAGCAATCATCCTAAAAATTCATTTCACATAAATTCTGAAATGTTTTTGTGAATCTCCAGTAACTTTAGTGCCACAAGTCAACCAATTGCTTTACCGACCAACGGTTCACATATGTACATGCATACTTAGTTACCCGCCTTGCGTAGGTGCGAAATTATTAATAATGTTGCTGGTGGTGCTGCTGCAATGCTTTCTTCGGTGTAAAAATTAGTTTAATCAATGAGAGACGTTTGAGGTTAGCGGAGGGTGGTGCAGAGATGGCAATGGTAGGTTAACCTGTAAGATTATTAGCTGTTATTGGCAATTGATTATTCTTTTTATCACCACAGCAATCACGAGTAAGCCCACCAAAGGGTTACCCAGCCAAGGATTATGTAGCGCCTCGATTGGCTTTACTGAAAAGAAACTAAGCCCACTAGAACTGACAATTGAAGCTCTTGATGTATTGTACAGAAAAAATCAATCTCACAAAAATTATTGGATAATATAGGCAGTTGACTTAGAAACTCGGAAGTGGAAATATCGCCGAAATCAACTTAGAAACGCAGAAGTGGAATATACTGCCGAAAGGCAATTAAAAGTCAGAAGTGGAATATACCGTTGAAAGGCACTTAAAAATCGGAAAGTTGAATATAAGACCGTACGAGACTTTTCATTCAGAAGTAGCATCTGCCTCTGAAGTATTGAAGGTATGGCTTTTTGAACCTTATGTAATAACTAAATATTATAGTGGGGTAGCTACATACATTGTTTTGCTTTTTACGATATTCGTGGTTTGATTCATCATGCATCCTTTCCAACAGAACAGACGGTCAATAAAAAATATTATTTGAGCGTTTTGTGGCGTTTTCGCGAAAACATCCGTCGCAAGCGACCGGAATTGTGAGCCAACGATTTCCGGAAACTTTCATGACGATAATGTGCCATTGCACTCTGATCGATTTTAAGGCCAAAAACTCATTCAAAATCATCGATCAACTACCAAAGCTCAAGTTATCATTCCGTGGAACCCGTTTCGACTCGATTAGGGCCGTAAAAAAAATTCGCAGAGGTAATTGAGGTCGATTGATTTCAACAGCTGCTGCATATAAACTTGTTGACAGATCGCTCTCATTTTTGGCATAGTAATTAAGGACGGTGCTACCAACTAACCAACAAAAAAAAGTGCTGAAAAATATTCAGCGCATGCTGTTTAAGTAGCAATTTCTGGAAGCTTTCTGGTCTTAAGGTATTATTATACATATTCTGCCGTTCGTATAAGAAACTAGGAAAATATTTTACCTTCGATTACCATTAGAAACAGAACAAAGTTGTTTGCTGGGTACTGAGTCTGTAATAGGCTCACTTAGACGACAAATCTCGGTGACATGCCTACTGGCTCGCCATGTAGTCTCTACAATTCATTAAACACAATTTGCGGTTTTCAGTTTTTACACGATTGCTGCGAATTATGGCTTAGAAACACATACCTATACACACACAAACGCCCATAGAGAAATTCAAGATGTTGCGCCAGTCGTCGTTGCATGCAAGTAGCTAAGTGCATTTTGCGGTTGTCGACAGTAGCTGCCACTGGCATTGATTGCTACTCGGCATCAGCTCCTGCAACTTAGCTAGTAATGATTGCCATTAGAGTGCTTCTGCTGTTGTGTTGCATGTAATTACCCCGTTCACTGCTAAAAGGCAATCTAAAACGGTATAATCAATGCTGCAAGTGAAAAAAGAATACGTTTTGAAATTATTGGTTTACCAAATAGTCCCCAACCAAATTAAGTTAACCTACCAAGGCCCACAAAACAAGGAGAGGCAAGCGAAACAATGAGGCACTGAGCTAATCGTCGTAACCAACTGCTGCCACCTTTCATGGCTCGCTAACCGCAATGTCTGGCATTTAATCTCGATTTTATGTGTTTCGTTGACAAGTTTTGCCACCGGCGGCCCATTACTTACACATGTTGCTGTCCTCTTCCTGTCAGTAAACTCACCTTTGCTGGCAATCTGTTGTTGCCGCAAATTTTGATTTGAATTTTTGATTTAATATGCTGTAGTTCAAAATGTCAATGCAATCAAGTTGTTGTTTTTAAAGTCAGGTGTTAAGAGTTTAATTTTTTTAACCAATAATACACTTGGGGAAAATAATGAATCAAATAGTGGAGCTTTTAGGGATGATAGGATACTGTTCTTTATCCTATAGTGACGCACTCAAAGCAAAGTTAGGTTTTGTTGAATTGGTTGACTCTACCTAGTCTGGCATAGACCTTACCAAAGTCCATAAGTTTACGAGACACCCTACATACGAACAAAAGTGTACCGTAATACTTCCTAGTTTCGGTAGTTTCGGCAGTGCCTCGTTTACTGATTTGCGCTTCGTGTAGGTGCGATGTCGGCAAGAAATATTAAGTCCTCGGAGTATACCTTTGACATGACATAAAAAGACTCCTCACAAAAATCCATCGGTCGTTCGGAGGTGGCTTGGAATAAAATATAATTGCCTTCATATGTAGAAAAGACTTCAAGAGGCCTACCGCAAAATGGATGAAGAGTTCGACCGAAAATCCCTCCAACGTTTACAAAATGCCAATTATATGTAGGCGTGCTGTGCTTTCGAGAATAGACTTATGTAAACCTAAAATAGTTTCCTTAGCAAATTAATTACCTTGTTCTCCTTCTCTCCATAGCTCGGCTGGGAAAATACTATCTAAGACTAGTGATTGTGTGTGGTCTTCCACACGCTCCGTACTAGCAGTTCTCTCCAACGTGAATTCCGGGCTTGACGTTAAGGACGGAAAATGAGCAATTAGTAGAATTTCCAGTGATTATATTCCATTCATAGCCCATGAACGGCCTTCAGTTTTTAGAAGTGTCTCATTGAAGCATAGATCCCCTGTATAGTACTTTCATTAGCATTGAGGGTTTGTATAAACTTGAAAGGTTTTTATATTATTGACATTATCACTGTTCTCCAACAGCCCTAAACTGTATGCGCTTGAGCTATAGTAACCGCCTCCAATCAAGTAAGATTTCAGCTAAGCGTCTATGAAATAACAAGGATCCTCGCGGATCGAACAAAGTTGAAAAATGCATTGTAAGCAACTCTCAATATAAAAAGTAACAGTAGCTATATAGTATAAGCACGGAGACCAACGGAACACTAAGAATTCTGAAATGGAATCCATTCCGACAAATTCTTTTACTAGCGTAGGCACCGCTTACTCGATTATAGCCAAGCTAACAACAATGCGCTCAGTCATTCCTTCTTTTCACTGTTTGACCCCAATTGGAAATACCTAGTAGAGCGAGATCCTTCTCTACTGGTCTTTTCAAAGGAGTGGTGGTCTACTTCTTTCTTTGATTTTACTGGCGAGTACTGCATCGAAACTTTAAAAGCTGGAGTATTCTTATTCATCCGCACCGCACGACCTAGTCAGTGTAATCGGGGTCTCTTGATTCGCTGAACTATGTTAATGTCGCCATATTACATCGTTCCTTTGGCTGGGGTATTCTCCGTTCTCGTAGAGGACCACACATTTTACGCAAAACCTTTTTCTCGAAAACTCCTAACGTCGACTCATCAGGTGTATAGCAAGACGGGGATACCGAATTCAGACATAGCGGCGTAGAGACAGCTTCTTTTCGTGCTGTCGAAGACTGATTTCAATTCGACGATGAGATTTGGCGCAATGTGAATATCGGAGTTATCAGATCTAATGCCACACTGATAAGGTCCAATGAGTCTCTCTAAGTATCAGTTACTAGTTCACCTTTCTGGGTCCTACAAGAGCCAGTTCTAGACTTGAAACTCAACAGAAGCTGAAGATCATATTTAAAACCCATCAGCATTTCTCTAAGTGCAAAACCAGTACTACATTTTTTGCTGACCAAATCTTACCTTAATTTCCATATTTGAAGACACAATAAAATAATGACCCAAACACTGTGGTTAAATATGTCACAACTGTGTCGCTTTTTTGCACCCCATTTTAACAGAAATTAATTTTCATAAATACTGTGTGCGAAAAAAATATTCACAATTCGTGACCGCAAAGTGGAACATAATCAAAGAATATAATAATCAAATAAAAAACAATCAAAAAAAAAAAATTTTATTAAAAAAATCCAAATAGGGGAAATAAAAAATTGCCAGCTTACCTTTAGTTATGCACAAATGTCGGAATAACGGTATGCATTACAGCCGAAAAAGTACTCGAAGAATTATTATACTACCTACTTGTGCTCGAAAGTTGTGGTAGCTCTTCACCGACCACAAAAACAACTTCAGACACAGCGGTTAAACGGCCATACCGTTGTTGCTACTGCTGTTGCTGATGATGAAGGTGTAGTGGTTAGTGTTGGCTACGGTGACAGGAGTAGCAACAACCCCTGTGCTGAGCTTGGCACTCGACAACGACAACTCGTACATACTAGAATGTGAACCGACCAGCTGTGATTGCGGTGCTGCGAGTTTGTAGTGTGCATTTTCGTTCTTATAGTGTGCGCTCGAACGGTTTATTATGGTCCCATAGCATATTTGCTGAGATTTTCAAGCATTAAGAATCATAAATAAAATTAAGCGTCCATGGAGAATTTGATTTGATTGTTGATTACAGTGATGAGTGCCTTGGTTAAGTTTTTTTTTGGACTGACAACAAGCGTGTTGGGCTTTAAATTTTTTGCTCTGCGGTGGGTTGCTAATATTCCGTGAAAGTTGGCAACCCCTTTATGACGCTAAGTTAAGCAAATAGAGTGGGTTGCTTGCTATGCTCGTTCGTACAACTGTAAGGTCGAGGCAGCTGCCAAGTCAAGACAATCCCTAAAAAAAAAAACTACAAGTCAAAGTCGTTACATAAAATGTTGAAACGTTGAAACGCATATTCGACGTATTTATTTTCCCTCTTCAAGTGTCGACACCAACAACTATAATAATAATGTTGGCAAGTGTCAAACCACCAAAGGACAACCCCCACAATTACAAGTGTTGCCATTGAGGGTGGTTGCGACGCGATTGAAAGCAGAGAAAGGTAAAAACAATTGATTGTGGAGAAATTTGGGAAGCATTATTGGGTGTAGATAAAGTGCTGGCCATAATTTTAGTTTCCTTCAGAGAGTATAATTTTGTAGAGTTTGAATTCGGTGCGAAGAAAAATGTTTATTTAAAATTTGTTTCCACTACCATCAGCTCCCTCGAAAGCATTGCTAACCCTTCTCAATGGAAAATTACATGCGAGCTGTAACGCAATTAGATTATATGCAACTCAACCTTGGAAGCATTGCAGTGTAGGATACGCTAAAATATTGTATCTTTCAAAAGCGTCGAAGGAGCTGAACTACATCACCTCCAGGATGCGCTTCGTCCATCTTTTCTTCAGGGCCCACATAGAAGTGTTTGGTAAGAAAACTAATGGGCTGGATCAGAGAGCCATTGCCATCTTTGCAGGTGGCTTAAAGCGCTATGGAAAAGAGGATTGCGGAATCTACTCTCCAATGCTGCCAAGCAGCGAACAACAGGTAATTGCATGTCAGATGAACTAGTGAAAGATGGAACCCTTTATCCATAATACAACATGTACATGAAGGAGATTTACCTTTCCCACTCCAAAGCATATGCTTAAATCGGCCTTTGCTAAAGAACTAGACTCAAATTTACTGAAAGAGATCACGTGCAACGTGACCGGACAGCTATGGCCAAAGTTGGACGCGAGAAAATCAAAATGTCTCATCCTCTAGGCCAGTTCTACATTAACATAACGGCAGGTATAATAACTGGCCACTGTTTAATGGAGCTTCACGTAAAAAGAGTGGATTACGACACTAATGATTTTTGAGATTTTTTAATGATTTTGAGCAAATTGGAATTCTCGTTGCCTTTCTCGTGTTCTTAGATACTTTTACTTTTTTTCTTTTTTTTTTACCCAAAACCACATAAATGCAGAAATCGGTTGGATCGAAGCTGTAAGGTGTAGTCGACCGATCAAGCAAACGATCCATACATATTGTTGCGAAAATGCGAGGCGAATGTCAGATGAAAGAGAGAAGCCGATAACTAGTACGTTCTAGAAACGATAAAACAAGAACCTTCCATAGCGAACAATTCGATGCTTCTACGCTTTCGTCTGCGAGCAGCCGACTGCTATATAAAGGCGACACTCAGCTGCAAGTCAAGTGAGTTACAAAGTGATCTGGTTGGCGTTAACATCAGTAAAGTCGTAAAGTAAACGCGTTGAAGATTACATTTAAGTAGAGTAAATTGTGAAAGTTGATACTAGTGATTGTAAATAGTAAAGTGTATTGTAATTGAATTGTGAATTACGGAGTAAATAAAGGACATTAGATTAATTATTTATAACGAAAGATACTGCAAATTAAGTTGGGCGAGTTTTATTTAACAATCCAGAGATCGTACCCGAAGGATTCAGAAAATAATTGAGGGTGATTTAGTAAAATCGTAACAATATATAAAGGCACACAAATTGATGAACTTTGATATTTTAGCTTCGAAACCACAGTTCAATCGCGCCAAGAAAAAGTCAATATCAAGGTAATGCTGATTGTTTTCTTCGATATTCACCAGATTTGGTCCGTTGAGACTTTTTTCTTAAAACTGGAGAAATCTATGAAAAACCGCGACCCTTTTCTCTGGCTCTAACTCGATGTGAAAGTCGATGGCGTAAAAGTTCCAACTATTGACAACCCGAAATTTTGGGAGTCTCATTCGATAGACTGCATTTTTACATTCGGCATACAGCTGCAATTGCCACAAATCTCCAGGGCCGATAGTTAACCGGCTGGGGACTATCGAGACGCAGCTGCGTCTTCAATCTTACCAAAACTTTGTACTCAGGACTGTGACATGAAACCTTCTGATGTCGCCAGAGTATCACTGGTATAGCGAATCATTTATGCGAAGAGTTAAGGAGCACACTGCTTTGCTGGGATGATGCCGTGGAGAACACCCGACCTTACTAGACCCTGAACCACCACCCAGACACAACAGAAAAGGGAATACT